GGAGTCTCGGCAATGAGTCTAAACCATCATTTATTTATTATATCAAATGACAGGCGTTTTGATGGTTATCATTAGCCCTTTAGTTGACTTCAGACTTCACAGAGGGGAAGGAACATCAAATTGAAAAAAGTCGAGAGGGATGGGAACAGAAGAGTGTCGCAAAGATGTAAGATACAAACACAAAGGTAGAAAAAAGGTGAGGTGGGTACTGTGAAAGTAGTAGAGTATAACATACAGTGGGGTCATGGTAGCTTGAAGTCAGAAGTCAACTACCGGTTTATAGACTTTTTTGCCGTATGAGTATACGTTGCCCAGGGTGCACCACGTGGAGGTAAGTCTAAACCATCATAAAGTGGCCAGACCCATTGTCGCTTGAATAGGGGTCCACCTAAACCATGCAATTTTATAAGTTGACATAAATAAAATAGTAGCTATTTGTTTAGCAAAACTTATATTTATTCTACTCTATTTTTATCAACTGCCATGTCTGATTTCATGTCTGTGGCGGTGAAATTAGACTGATATTGACTAAAATTTTTAATGACTTTGCCTTTTAAAGCTGCAATTCGAGGATGATTTGGAAATCACAGCAATGTATTCAAACGAAGGTGAAAGAGTTAATTTCGAGAAAACCACGAAGCCTATTGGAAATGTGGAAGAATGGATGTCAGAAATTGAGAACCTGATGCGCTACTCAATGCACGATGTCATCAAAAAGGCTCTTATCGCCTACATGAAAACTCCAAGAACGGAATGGGTTCTACAGTGGCCAGGTCAAGTTGTTATTGCAGGTTGTCAAACTTATTGGACCTCTGAAGTGACCGAATCCCTTAATAAATCAACCGACGGCCTCAAATCTCTCTATCCATTGCTTCTTGATCAACTTAGAGGCCTTCGTGACGTTGTTCGGGGTGATTTGTCAAAGATAGCAAGGTTGACACTGTCAGCGTTGATTGTCATTGAAGTTCACGCACGAGACGTGGTTGACAATATGATTCGACAGGGAGTCAGTACGGCAAATGATTTTGAGTGGATAAGTCAACTCCGTTATTACTGGTTTAATGATGAAGATCAGTTGGTATTAATGGCGGTAAATGCAGAATTCCCTTATGGTTATGAGTATCTTGGAAATACAACTAGATTAGTCATTACGCCATTGACTGATCGATGCTACCTTACACTAACTGGTGCTCTTCATCTTAACTTCGGAGGTGCCCCATCAGGACCTGCAGGAACGGGTAAAACTGAGACAACAAAGGACCTCGCAAAGGCTTTTGCTGTTCAATGTGTCGTTTTTAACTGTTCCGACCAATTGGACTTCATGGCTATGGGTAAATTCTTCAAGGGATTGGCTGCGGCTGGCGCTTGGGCTTGCTTCGATGAGTTTAATCGAATTGATATCGAAGTCTTATCTGTAGTCGCCCAGCAAATAACCACAATTCAGAAAGCCCAGATGCAGCGTGTTGATCGGTTCATTTTTGAAGGTGTTGAGTTGGCTTTGAAGCCTTCTTGTGCTATCTTCATCACCATGAATCCTGGTTACGCAGGTCGTACTGAACTTCCAGATAACTTGAAGGCTCTCTTTAGACCTGTTGCTATGATGGTTCCCGATTATGCGCAGATCGCTGAGATATCGCTCTTCTCTTTCGGTTTTGCCGAGGCTCGGATATTGGCAAAGAAGATTGTGACAACATTCAAGTTATCTTCCGAGCAATTGAGTAGCCAAGATCATTACGATTTCGGTATGAGAGCTGTAAAGAGCGTTATTTCAGCGGCTGGTAACTTGAAGCGTAATGAGCCTGATCAAAATGAGGTAGGTTAAATGACGCTTAAGCGCAATGGCTCTTTCAACTCTCTTATTGATGTTCACTAAAATCTTTAGGAGCTCATTGTCCTTCGAGCGATTCGTGATGTAAACCTGCCAAAATTCTTAGAAGACGATCTGAAACTCTTCAATGGCATAGTTTCAGACTTATTCCCCAATATTCGCCATCTTGTGTACACTGAGTCATTTTATAATTCGCATTTACAATGTTTTATTTATGTTCATTATTCTCTTCTCTTTCAGTGGAAATGTGATCGATTACGAAGACTTAAACGTAGCTTTGAAAACTGCTGCTCGCAAAATGGGCCTGAAAGATGAGCCCAGTATGTCAAATTTGAGTAGTATAACGTTTTTTCTAGATTTCCTTCATAAATGTACTCAGCTATTTGAAACTACTATCGTGAGACACGGATTAATGATTCTGGGTCCTACAGGATCAGGAAAAACCAAGTGCTACGAAATTCTCAAGGAGGCTTTGAGTTCCCTAAAGAACCAGCCTTCACCAGATGGATCATTCTTCCAGAACGTAGTAACGTACGTACTCAATCCGAAATCAGTCACCATGGGCCAACTTTACGGTGAATTTGACCTGGTGACTCACGAATGGACTGATGGTATCTTGAGTGTACTGATTCGGGAAGGAGTTGCGGGTGATAATCCCGACAAAAGGTGGTACGTCTTTGACGGTCCTGTGGATGCTGTGTGGATTGAGAATATGAATACCGTTTTGGATGACAACAAGAAACTCTGTTTAAGCAGTGGCGAAATTATTAAACTTACAGAGAGTATGACAATGATGTTTGAGGTGGCTGATTTGGCTGTGGCATCACCTGCTACTGTCAGTCGTTGTGGAATGGTCTATCTGGAGCCTAGTATCCTTGGTCTGAATCCTTTCATTGAATGCTGGCTTCAGAATCTACCTGCGCCTGTTTATCCGCATAAAGACAAACTGAAATTACTCTTTGACACTTTCCTTGAAGTCAGTTTAGTGCAACATTTTCTAACTGTGCTTATCTAGGATTCCATTCGATTTGTCCGAGAAAATACTGTCGAAATAATCAAGAGTACTGATGGTCAGCTAACTTTCAGTCTTTTGAACCTCTATTCTTGTTTCCACAACCGGTTCGAGACTAAAGGAGGACTTCAGGCCTCTGCTAAGAAAGCTGAACGAACAAAAGTAGGTTTTCGATTCTCAAAATAGACCAAAACGCTATTAACAATTTGATTTTAACTTTCTTATCCACATGCCATGCACAGATGAAGCAAAATCAAAATCTTAGAGCTGCACTACGACCTCTAGGCAAAGAACCAGTTGACGTACGGACACTGTTTAGCAGTTTGAGTTTTGTTCTCGGAAATTCTGATTTGTGAACTCTGTTCATTGATATTCGTTCCATATTCTAGAGTGGAGTCTCCGAAGAGCTTATTTCAAAAGTTGGAGAAGTCTATGAATCGTGGTTCTTCTTCGCTCTGGTTTGGTCTGTCGGTGCGACGTGTACTAATGATGGAAGGAAGGCTTTTGATATATTCTTGAGGAAGAAAATGGATGATGCTAAGGTCAGCGTTTTGTATGACTGAAAAAAAATTTTAAATGAACATGTCCATGTACACTGGATCAACACTTAACTTCGCATTAGTAATGAATGGTTTTGAATTTGTACAATTTTTAGTATTGCAAAAGGACGGAATGCTAGAGAATACCATGAATGAGAATAGATATGTATTGGTATATCACAGGCGGCTCAAACACTGAGTAAAGCTGTCTTTTTCGAATAGCAGTATATGGAACATATTTATACCACCCACAAGAGTGTCTGGGTCAATTTAGGTTATTTAAATGCGAGGGCTAAGTTTAATATACCTATGCTTAGGCTCTTCAGAGAATTAGAATATTTGGTATCTCCGTTTCATCCTTACTTTTTTTCTGTGAGCTGAAAGACCACATTTGTGAAGTCATAGGCAACAGGTTCTATGCTTACTGCCGCACACCTAGTGAACGCAATGTCCGATTACACTATAAATTAATTGGGATTAGACATGGGTAACTTTTGCATTGCTTTCGTTATATTACATTTTTGAGACAAGGATCACCCCTAATCATCTAAATTTGCCAATTTTTCCGTCACAGGTTTATCGTCCTTTCCCGCCAGAGGGTTCTGTTTACGATTACTACCTCGACGAAGCTAATTTACTCTGTGTAGACAAAGCGGAGTTGGACTGTGATGAACAGAATGAGAGACAGGTACCAGCTTATATTCTATTTGGATGTGACTAATTATGTTCTAATTTAAAGGTTCATTGGGAACACTGGATGAAAAACGTTCCTGCTTACAAGATTGATACAACAATGAAATATTCTGACATTCTGGTCCCCACCCTAGATAATGTCCGGCTTATAAAAATCATTGAAATGCTCCTCAAGAAAGGCCTTCCAATTTTAGGAATTGGTCCAACTGGAACTGGAAAGACAGTTTGCATTGCCGATAAGCTAACTCGTGGAATGACCGAGGAGTTTATCACAGAATTCATGGTATTTAGTGCAAAGACATCCTCAAATCAAACTCAAGATTTCATTGAGAGTAAGATGGATAAACGACGACGTGGTGTTTATGGTCCACCACCTGGAAAGAATCTAATCTTCTTCATTGACGATTTGAATATGCCAGCTCCAGATGCTTATGGCTCTCAACCACCGCTTGAACTTCTACGGCAGTGGATGGATTTCCGCGGATGGTATGATAGAAAACAGATCGGTGCTTTCAAGCAGATTGTTGATGTCAACTTTGTTGGAGCCATGTGCCCACCAGGTGGTGGAAGAAATCCAATTTCGCAACGTATGCTCCGCCACTTCAACTTCTTAAGCTTTAATGAAATGGATGAACAGAGCATGACAACTGTCTTCTCTACTATTCTCAACAGTTGGTTTACTCAAGTTCCTGAGGATTCACCAGTTCACAGCCTTGTAATCAACGTTGAATCTTTTGTGCAAGCCTCTATAGCAGTCTATATGACTGTTCAGTCTCAGTTATTACCGATTCCTGCTAAAAGTCATTACACATTCAATCTTCGTGATCTCTCTAAAGTCTTTCAGGGTGTCTGGATGTTTGATATTCATCACTTAACTGGTCGTCTTAATGAGTTATTGCGTTTATGGTATCATGAATCCTGTAGAGTATATCAAGATCGCTTAGTAGACGATAACGACAAAAATTGGTTCAAAAATTTGTGCATCAAAACACTAGAGGAGAAATTCAACGGTAAATTCGAAGAGATTGTACCTTCTGAACCACTCCTTTACGGTGATCTCTTGTCAAATGATATCTCTGAGAACAGAAAGTACATTGAAATGATTGACCATAATCAAATACTTCAAGTCTGTGAATCGAATCTGGAGGACTATAATCAACTCAACAATACTCGTATGGATTTAGTGCTGTTTATGGATGCCATTATTCACCTCTGTCGAATATCTCGAATAATTAGACAACCTAAAGGCAATGCTCTTCTTCTTGGACTGGGAGGCAGTGGAAGACAGAGTTTATCTCGACTAGCTGCACATATGTTAGTTTAACCAAAAATCTATTCACACTTATTTGAGATGGGTTTTCTCACATATTCTGTTTTAATTTAGTGCTGAGTTCGAATGCTATCAAATAGAATTGACAAAGACTTATAGCATTCATGACTGGCAAGAGGATTTGAGGAAGGTTATGATGATGGCTGGCTTGGAAGACAAACAGGTCCTATTCTTATTCTCTGATACGCAAGTGAGTTGGTGTTTTAAACTACCTCATATACACCATTAACCAGTAATTAAACTGCTTACTATTTAGATCAAGCATGAATCCTTCCTTGAAGATCTCAACAATATCTTAAATGCTGGTGACGTACCGAATATTTATGCATTTGAAGATTTGGAGAACATCTACAACGCAATGAAGCCCATTGTGATGACTGCAGGATTAGCTCCAACTAAGAACAACCTCTATTCGACGTATGTTAAGCGTGTTAGGCAGAACCTGCATACTGTGATAACCATGAGTCCCCTTGGCGAAGTTTTCCGAGCTCGATTGCGACAATTCCCTGCTCTCGTTAGTTGCTGTACCATCGACTGGTATTCAGAGTGGCCAGATGAGGCTTTAGAAGCAGTTGCACTGAGAACTCTCAAAGGAATGAAGGAACTGCAAATTGAGGAGAGTTTAATGAATGGCATTGTGAAAGTCTGTCAAAAAATGCATCGGTCGGCTGTTTTGTATACTGCTAACTATCTGCACGAAATGGGTCGTTACAATTATGTCACTTCAGCCTGTTTCCTGGAATTACTTAACTCGTTCGCTAGAATGTATGGTCTCAAATTAATTGAGTTGAATACTTCGAAGAACCGGACTAAAACCGGTCTAGATAAACTCCTGTCAACTGAACAAATTGTAGCCAAATTACAAGCAGAGCTAGAAGCCATGCAACCACAGTTGGAAAAGGCCATCAAGACTTCGAAAGTGACATTGGAAGAAATTGAGAGGGATTCAAAAGTGGCAGAAGAGACTACCGCGATTGTACAACGTGAAGAGGAAGTAGCTGCCAAGAAGGCTGCAGAATGTGCAGCTATTCGAGATGACGCACAGAGGGACTTAGATGAAGCCCTTCCTGCATTATACGCCTCTTTAGAAGCGGTCAAATCATTGAATAAAAATGACATTCTTGAAGTCAGAAGCATGATGCGGCCGCCTGAAGGCGTAAGACTTGTCATGGAAGCAGTGTGCATAATGAAAGACGTCAAGCCGAAGAAAGTGCCAGGTGACAAGCCTGGTGTTAAGGTGGATGATTACTGGGAGCCGGGAAAAACTCTCCTACAAGATCCGGGCAAATTTCTTGATTCACTCCTTAATTATGACAGAGATAACATACCTGATGCCATTATAACCAAGATACAATCCTACATTGAATCAAGTGCTTTTACTCCGCAATCTATATCACGAGTCAGCAAGGCCTGTACTAGTATCTGTTTATGGGTTCGAGCTATGTACAAATACCATCATGTTGCAAAGACGGTATTACCTAAGAGAGCAGCTATGCAAGTAGCTGAAGAAGACTTGAAAGAAACTGAATTAGTTCTTGGAGAAGCTCGTACTCGTTTACAAGCCTGTAAAGATCGCATTGAGAGTTTGCAGACAAAGTATCAGGAGTGCATGAGAAGACAACAAGAATTGGAAGACAAGAAAAGCCTTTGTGAAGCCCGTTTGGTTCGAGCTGACAAGTTAATTGGAGGGTTGAGCAGTGAGAAGGGGCGTTGGCTGGATACTGTTGAGGAAATAGATAGTTTGCTTGCTAATCTGATCGGCAATGTGCTCTGTTCATCTGGAATAGTGACATATTTAGGACCGTTTAGTGGCGATTATAGAACAAGCATGTATGAAGAATGGATTGATTGTTTAAAGGAGCATAGTGTACCACAAACTTCAAATCCTAATCTCATTGATACATTTGGAGATCCGGTCAAGATTCGAAATTGGCACATCTTTGGTCTTCCAAAAGATAGTTTGTCTATTGAAAACGCAGTTATTGTTCAATTCTCTCGACGTTGGCCCCTTTTTATCGATCCACAAGGTCAAGCTAACCGTTGGATAAAGTCGCTTGAATCTGATGAAGGACTTGAGGTTATAAAAATGTCTGAAAAAGATTTCCTCCGAACTCTGGAGAATGCAATCAGATTTGGTAGGCCAGTTCTTATGGAAAATGTTGGTGAAGAAATAGACCCTGTCTTGGACCCGATCATACTGAAACAGACCTTAACTCAACAGGGAATAACCGTAATCAAGATTGGTGATAATATTATTCCCTACCATCAGGACTTTAGATTCTATCTGACTACCAAACTTCCAAATCCTCAGTATTCTCCAGAAATTTCCGCTAGACTTGCTGTTGTGAACTTTACACTGGCTCCTAAGGGTCTTGAAGATCAACTCCTCAGCTTGGTAGTGGCTGAGGAACGACCTGACTTAGAAGATGCTAAAGGCCAACTTATAGTGAGCAATGCGAAGATGAAGCAAGAACTGAAAGAAATCGAGGATCATATTCTAGAGAAGTTAAGTTCATCTGAAGGAATGCCAATAGATGACTTGGATCTTATCTCAACCCTTGAAGCATCTAAACTCAAATCATCAGAAATTCAAGCAAAAGTTGTTGTTGCGGAACAGACTGAGAGAGATATTGATGAGACTAGAAGTATGTACATTCCTGTTGCAATTCGGGGTAGAATTCTCTTCTTCTGTGCAGCCTCCATGCGAGAGATTGATCCAATGTACCAGTATTCCTTGGAGTGGTTTATCAATATATTTATCCATGGTATCAGTAATGCCGAAAAGTCTTCAGTCGTATCAGAGCGTATTGAGAACGTTAATGCTTTCATTACCTTCTCATTTTACAAGAATGTCTGCCGTAGTCTATTTGAATGCCATAAGCTACTGTTTTCATTCTTGATAACTGTCAAGATTCTTGAAGAAGAGAAGCTGATTAATTTGGAAGAGTGGCTATTTCTATTGCAAGGAGGATCAAGAATAAAGCAGGAGATTCCAAATCCAGCTCCAGAATGGATTTCAAACCGAATGTGGAGAGACTTGCTTACTCTTGATGCTCTGCCAAACTTTGATGGACTTCCTGCCTTCATTAAGAAGAACTTGAATCATTTCAAAGCAATATTTGACTCTCCTGAGCCTCATAGGTTGCCTCTTAAAGAGCCATGGGGTGAGAAATTGGATAGTTTTCAGCGGCTTCTGTTCTTGCTATGCCTCCGACCAGATAAGGTGACGAACGCCATGCAAGACTTTGTTGCTCATCATCTTGGCCAGCAGTTTATCGAACCCCAGACCACAAATTTGAAGGAAATATTTGCTGAGAGTTCACCTACCACTCCTATTATTTTCATTCTCTCACAGGTATAGTAAAGGATTTCAATAAAACTTTCTTTAGGGTACCGATCCGGCGTCAGATCTCTACAAGTTTGCTGAGGAGATGAACTTTGGTGGAAAGAAGCTCTCAGCTATTTCTCTAGGTCAGGGCCAAGGACCCAGAGCTGAAGAAATGATGCGAACAGCTATGGAGCGTGGAATGTGGGTATTTTTCCAGAACTGTCATCTGGCTCCATCATGGATGCCTTCGCTGGAAAGACTTGTTGAACAAATTGACAAAAGTCGTGTCCACAAGGACTTCCGTCTTTGGCTTACTAGTATGCCCAGTCCAAGCTTCCCCATTTTTATTTTACAAAACGGATCAAAGTTGACTATTGAACCACCGAGGGGCATTAAAGCTAATCTCCTGAGGACCTACTTGTCTATTAGTGATAAACAGTTGGAAAGCGTTCCGAATAAGGTAAGATAAAATTTCAATGTTCATTTGTTTGTATTAGTAATCAGATGCATTGTGGAGGGGGAGGGGGTGTTATACAATGATAAATCATCTTCCCAAGGAATATTAGATGGAAAACGCCTTTCTAAATTATTAATTAATATGCAAAAAGGTCCTTGGGGGTAGGGGAGGAAATAAAGAATCCGCCGATTGAACTCGATTTAAAATGGCGTTTCAACACTTCCGTATGCCAAATTCCATTATTTTCAATAGTTTTATTACCATTTAGATGTGATGGCATATGACTAACTTAGCCTTTGCTATTATTGTTGCTAAGAGAAGTCAAGTCAACTTGGGTTTGTATTCAATTCCAGTGCGTTTTCAGTGAACGACTTGATTGGCCACTACAGTCATGAAGTTTGCTAGTCTGTTATTATTCATACTTCAAACGAAAGTTTTGCATTTTTAAAAGTGCAGGAATGTGGCATTCTTAAGCACACACACTCACACACGCAAACAGGAAGTTAAGACAAGAGAAATCATTTGAAATTTACTTTTGAACCTCGTTTTCAGAAGTTAATGATGAAAAGTGAAGCACTTATGTATTTTAACAAAGGTTTGTGTTTTGCTTTTTCATATAGCTTTGACTTTATCTTCATTTTTCATTAAATCGGAAAGAATCGTCCGCCTGGTTTTGTGGGTCCACTTTATCTGTAGCGGATTGCTACTTTATTAAAGCCTGACCGACTCAGAAATCTCTATGGCAGATTCTCCTACATCTAGCTAGACTCCCGGAACAAGCTAAGCTATAGACCAGCTATAAGGGAAACAGACGTGTAGCACGGAATACGTTTATTCAGTACGAGTATTGAGGATAAAGTGTACACGCAGGATGGGGGATTAGGTTAAACATGGTTCGATCATGATCAGGATGGCGGATTAGGTCAAACAAACAGAGGCTAGTGTTAAACAAACAGAGGTTAATGATTGGTCACTGTTTGTATGGGATTAGGTTAAACAGAGGTTAAGGATTGGTCACTGTTTGTACGGTCGCTGCACACAGAGTTGTACGGCCGCACCTCCCAATCCTGACGAGTAGACATGCGGGCATACGATGACGCACACACAGCGATAACGTGTCCCGCATATCTTAACTATCACGTGATTATAAAGGTAAATTTTTAGTGTACATATTGTCCATAGACGTCTTTACATGTGCTTCGTAGCTTACAGGATAATTGTGTCAGTTGCTTAACAATTATCTCAGTTCAGAGTGGCAAAATTCTAGTTTGCATACTCTGCGTTCCATCGCTTTGTTCCTGTATTCTCGAGCTCACCTGCTTGCACTCTGATCGCATATGTACCTCTGAGTCCACTCCACCTTTGCTTCTTTGGTTCTGTTGGGTTGGGGAGGAGAGGGGGGAGGGGGGAGGGGGTTTCTATTAGTTTAACAGGATTGATTCTTCTTACAAGTTCAACCCATTCGAACAGGTCTATCATAGTTATCAATCCATAACCTTAGGGTTGAGAGACTATGAAATGGTCTATCTAAGAGGTTTCTAAAATAACTCATACGAATATTTTATTTCAAAATTTACATCTTGTTTTATTGCCCCCCTAGAACGCTAATTTCAAGTCACTTCTCCTTGCGCTTTCCTTCTTCCACGCAATTTGCATTGAAAGAAGGAAGTTCGGTCCTTTGGGCTTCAATATTCCCTATGAATTCACTACAGGAGATTTCAAAATATGCATGGACCAGTTGGCTATGTTCCTAAATGAATATGCTGAAATACCCTACAAGGTTTGCATTATTGTAATCAGAAATCCTGACTTAAATGCCTTTATTCCTAAAAGCTTATTCTTTTCCAATAGATCCTTCAATATACAGCCGGTGAGATCAATTATGGTGGACGTGTGACTGATGATTGGGATCGAAGGTGCTTGAAGAGCATTTTGTCAGATTTTTACAATGCCAAATCTCTTGATGCTAATCATACCTACTCTGAATCGGGAATTCTCAAACAAATAAGTAGTGACTCGGATCGCAAGGTATGAGTACTCACTAGATTCCATATGGCCTATATTTATTGTCGTTGAAGTAAGTTAGTTTCTTTAACTTTGAAAGAAAAGGTCGTTCTTCACTTTTTCCTATTTGACATCGATTCTTGGTGTGTAACTTAATTAAGTTTCCTTTATGGCTGTGACGGAGTGCCTCTTTATCGAAATCTGTTCACTCTGTTTCACTAATCTCGATTCATTAAAATTGTTGTCTAGCCATTCATTGGGAATTGGAATTGCATCTCAAATTGGCTTTTTTTCTTCCTACCCTCCTCAACCCCCCCCCTCCCCTTCCCATGGAAAGAGTCCATCTTATTTTTCTTTTGGTTAAACTTTTCTGCTTGGTTGCTTTTCAACAAGGTCTTCGTTAATATTCACTCATAACTTTCTTCATTTATAGCAGTATTTAAGAGCCACAGATTTGATCCTTTGGAAACATTGTGGAGATCCCGAGTCTCTATTTCTGTTCATTCAGTGACTGGGATATTTGGCATTATTGTAAACCATTTCAAGTAGGGAGCTATCACTTTCAAATGTGCACTTATGAGTATTGCTGTCTAGTGAACTTGTTGAATATGACAGGCCTTTGTTTGTCTTCACTTCATCCAATACTAATTTATCTTTTGTTTCAACAATGCCAGTAGGTATTTTGATAATTTAAGAAGTTGTGTGTGCAAAAGTACTACACCCTCTACCAGAGTTCTTTAGCATCAATTCGTCATTAGAATTAGCCAGACTATGTGAAGAGTACCCACAAAAGAGGGTGTCAATTGACGGCATGATTAGTGTTCAAACACAATCAAACATACTCCTTGTAGTGCGAATATTGATCACGAGTTGGCTGGGAGGCCTAAATATGCACCACCACACTCGTTTGCCTCACAACCAGTGACATGTGCTCACTTTCCGGAATGTTCTAGCATATACGAGCTTCCTTCGAGCAGCGCCAAGTAGCGTTATACACACCACAGAACCAGTCTCCCGTTAATAAAAACAAGACAAATTGAGGCTACCCGATGCTCTTTGAGGGGGAAAGTTGAGGTTATCGATCGAGTAAGGGTCACTGTGAGGCTGAAAACGTTAGGTTTCAGAGATTGGTAATGACTGCGATAATACTTTTATACCACAGATTTTCAGCCCTCAATTGCTTTTTTATTTACTGTTTCCATAAATCCTTGTGATTATTTGTCTGTATTTATCTATTTTCCATCTTCCTTCGTTGAAACACAGTTATTTGCGTCATGTATGTTTGTTTGTTTATATCGAGCTTTCGTCTAAATTTCATTGATTTATCTTTACCTTAATTTTAACTGCTTGGTTTTAGGTCGCCTTTATAACTAAATTTTCGCTTGGCCTTTCTACTCATTTTCAGAACCCCATAGATTTAAAATTTTCTAAATAGTTTAAAGAGGGTTTATTTTTCAAATGCATCAAGAAGGTCTGGTTTTAAAGTTTCATCTCAGTGTAAAGTATTGAAACGCATTATTATCCGTATATCAACTTTTAACTCCTTTGATGGAACCC